GATCTTGCGGGGGGGCGGCGCGTGCGGTCGTACGCTGCACGGCCCCTCCCGCGGGCGCCGCGACGGCGGGAGGCGGGGCGGAGCTGGCGCCGGCTGCTGCTGCAAGAATACCATTGAGACGCTGGCGGTCGGCCGGCACCGCTGCGGCAGCCGCAAGGGTCGCCAGGGCGGCCAGCGCAGCAGCCGTGGGGTCCTCCCCCTCATCCCCCTCTGTGAGGGTGGCGTCCGCAGCCGCACGGGGGCCGTGCGGCCGCCGGGGAACGGCTGCTGCGGCGGGCTCAGGCTCCAGCTGGGCGCGTTGGTCACCCTCGGGGAGGTGGGCGAGGTAAGCGTCCCACGCCTCGTCCAAGATGTGCTTGGCCTCTGTCTCAAGCGCACCCAGCATGGCCGCGTGGTCATTGTCGGTGGCTACGCGCCCGCTCATGTGCATCTGCCGGATCAGGCGCCAGTCTTGGTTGAGGTGCCTGTGCAGCATGTTGCCGATCAGGTTGAGCATATCCGTCACGGAGACGCGTGTCTGGACGCGGGGGTCGCGGGCGAGCATCATGAACCGCTCCAAGGCCTCGCTCGGGGGCTCCCATCGGTCCACCCGCGCGCAGGTGGCGGAATCCTGCCCCTGGCGGATAGGATTAGGATTAGGATTAGGATTGTTACAGCGTCCCGCGGATAGCACGCAGGACGGTCACATCCCGCTCGGGCTGCCTCTTGTACAAGTGCGACCGCACGCTGTAAGCGATGACAGCCCCGACGGCGCCTGCCTGGTCCGGGTGCAGGTAAGCACCGTCGTAACGCTGGTCTGGGGGGAGCGCGTGCATGAGATCGCCCGCGATGAGGTGCATGGAGCCGCTCACATGCGCCTGGTCGTCGCCCTCAAAGCAGGTGAGCGCGTGCTGCAGAGCCCCGCCAACGGTGGACGGGCGGTTCTGCACCTGAGTGCTCACGTACGTCTGCAGAGCGGTGAGGAGTTTGCGCAGCTCGATCCCGTACATGCTCAAGCGCAGGCGGGCCTGCTGAGCCTTGAGCCCTTGGTTGTGGGACGCCGGCTGTACGGCCGGGTCGAAGCCCCTGGGGTGCACGATGTGCCCCTCCGGCCAAGGGAAGCGGCCGGGGCTAGCGGCGGCTGCGGTCATCCAGTGGGTGCGGGTCTAGGACGTGCCTGGCAGGGTTTGAGCTGGCAGGGCCGTGCGGCTGCCGCGGAGGCCCGGCTCCGCCAGGGGTGAGCCTCCGCTGCCCGAGCCCAACGGCCGCCAC